TAGGGTCTAGGGTTTTTTGGGGTTTAGGGTTTAGGGCTTAGGGGACCTACAAGAAATTTTAAGAGGAGTTTCGCTTCATGGCAAGAGCCCCAAACTTAGAACAGGTAGTATAGGGGCCTTCACAGTTTTAACAGGGTTTGGGGGGGCACATGATAGTATGAATGTAATCAGGAACCGCAGGAATGATGTTGGCAGCATCTTCTGGTTTTACTGCAGAGATTCAGCCTCAACCCTAAACCCAAAATAGACCTCAAAAACACAAAACAGAAAGCAACAAAGACCCAGGAGACCAGAAGCCTAGGCTTCCAAGAGCCTTCGTCTAGGGTTTAGGATTTAAGTTTCGGTAAGAATACTCATCATCATGATAAGAAATAGTCATAGTTCTGTTCCTAATCCTAGTATTGGTACTACTTCTAATTTTCCTAATCCTCATACTAGTACTCGTACTAATCCTAAACAAAGTTGCAAACTAATCCTAAATCTGGTGCCCAATCTTATAATTTCAAGACTACTAACAAATACTAACAAATCCAATACTAATACCAATCCTAATAAGACTACTAATGCTGGATACGTACTAAGGCTTGGTACTAAGATATTATATCTTAGTATCTGGTCTTAGTACGCATCTAGCATTAGTCTTATTAGGATTGGTATTATAAATACGCCATGCAGCGGGTACCGCCGTGGGCTGCCAGTCGGGTGGGCGCCATCCAGGTAGCAGCGGGGACTCTCCGTACGGCGAGCCCAGTTCCTGGAAGGGAGTAGAGTTTCCCTAAAGCCTAAACCCTACAGCCGAAAAGCCCTAAAGCCCTAAACCCTAAAAGCCCTAAACCCTAGAAGCCCTAATTAAGCCCTAAAACCCTAAACCCTGAACCCTAAACTAAACGCTTTAGGATTTCGAGGTTTAGGCCCTTTAGGGACCTTGGGGGGCTGTCGGATTGATCTCGAGGTTTACGGTTTAGGGCTTTAGGGCTTTGGGGTTTAGGGTTAAGTTTACGGTTTCGGGGTTGGAGGGCTGGAGGGGTTTAGGGTTTCGAGGTTAAGGCCGTTTCGGGTTTAGGGTTCGAACCTTACAGCAATAAACCCCCCTGAGGAGAGCCACGGTTTAGGGTTTAGGGTTTAGGGCTCCTCTCGCATGAAGATGCTGACTCAAGGCACAGGCACCCTCAACCAAACAGCAAACTTTTCACCGAAACTCCAAACACTTACAGCAGAAGCCCACAAGTTGGACACCCAATAGCCTCAATCCTTAAGAGTAATGTGTAGGTTATCCCAGCACTACTTGTCCTAAATGCGGTTTCCAACTTTTTGGGGTTTAGTATAAAAGAACCCTTATAAATCCCTTAAAGGAGCCCTTAAAGGAACCCTTCAAGATTCCTTAAGGGAGCCCTCAACGCTATAAGCCCTGAGACCCGACAAAAATCCTGAGCAGTAGCCCTGAAGCCTAAACCCCGAATATCCCTCAGCTTTGACCCCTTACAGCTTCCTTAAAAAGGAGCCGCAAAGAACCTAAGACCCCTATAGCTTTCGTAAAGGAACCGTGGGGAACCTCTCTGAACCCCTCTAAACGCTGAACTCAACCGATCCTGACTGGGAGGCAGCAGGCGACACGCGGGGCCTGACCAACAAGAGATTGAGGGCTCGGGGCGATGGGTTTAGGGCTTGGGGTTTAGAGTTTAGGGTTTTAGGGTTTAGGGTTTTAGGGTTTAGGGTTTTAGGGTTTAGGGTTTACCAAGAACCCAGGCCACCGAGTTCAGCGGCCTGTGGGGCTGCTTAGGGGTTTAGCGACGAGGGCTCAGGGGCTTTTGGTGTAGGTTTAGGGGTGTACAGGGGTTTAAGGCTTAAGGTTTTGGGGGTTTAGGGGGTTTAGGGTTTTGGGGGTTGATTAGGGTTTATAGGGTTTTCTTGTGAGTTCTGGGGCAGCTAAAAAAGGCAAAGTCAGCTTCGAAGTCATCCCAACCTCCTCTTACTTCTCCAGTTTCGTAAGGAACAACCTGGGAGTTTCCGAAAACAAGGGGGTTACCTTATTTTGGGGGTGTCCTTATAACAAGGATCCTACTATTTAGGGTACTACACTAGGGTCCCCTATTTTCGGAAAGCCTGTCAGAAATTGTCAACCTTTCTTTGACAGACCACATATGTAAGGCCAAGAAGTTTAGAGTGCTCCCCCTGGCTATCTAAGCAATATAGGAGTTTAGGGTTTACGGTTTAGAGTACCCAGCGAGATTGACGGTTCCCTAACCAGGTTCCTGAGTGACCGCTTAAAAATGAGGGTACCCTGTTCTTCAGTTTTATAAGAAGGGAAGCATACAGTCAACAAAGGAAAAGGGTACTACTCAGGAACCTACGGTTGATGACATAAATCCTGCATTACCTTAACGACCCTAAACCATAGGAATTGTGCTCTATTCCTGCAAAAAGGTAATGCAGGGCGCATATCATCGACCGTAAGTCATTCTGGCTAGATAATGTAGAAGCGATAATAATTAGAATAGGGTTTTGGGTATATTATACTATAATTATAATAAGGAACCCCTTAAATAGTATAGGTAATTATTTTGGCCCCTACATTACTGCGCAAGAGCTGCTCTGGTCGCTTCTGCTCTAAGAGAACTTGGGACTCTTGCAAGCTCTCGGGCACACTGAGCGCCCTAATGTAGGGGCCTTTAGAGTTAGAGTAAAATATCAGGGCTCCCTTAGAAGGGTCTAGAAGGGCGACTGTACGGGTTTAGGGTTTAGGGGCCTTATGAGTAGGTTTTGGGGCCCAGTATGCTATGATTATGTATAATAAGGAACCCCCGGAATTGTGTAAGTAATTATTCAGGGCCCCACATTAAGTAGAATCGGGGTTTCTGCAGAAAGTTCCTAATCGGGGTTTCTGCATAAAGTTCCTACCAGCATGGCTGAATCGCAACGGCTTTGGGTAAACCCTATAAGCCCTAAACCCCTAAACTCTTAAACCCAAACCTCTTAAACTCCTAAACCAGCAGGTTTCGGGGCCCATCTTAAACCAGAAGGATTCGGGATCACCAAACAGCACCGGAACGAAAAAAAAAATAAGGTTGGGATCTCCCAGATTTCCCGCCTGAAGCAAGCCAACAAGGTAGGGATGTCCCAAAGGAAAAGTGTATGGGTTTTTTGCTTCCTGAAGAATCGCATCTACACTCACAGCCCTAAACCCTATACCTATACCCTAAACCCCAAAACCCTAAAACCTTAAAAATTGAAAAAAACCCCAAACCCTAAACTCCAAAGGCCCTAAGCCCCTCGCCCCACAGGCCCTCAACCCCTCGCCTGGCGACTGAAAGAGCGGACTGTCGGCCATCGAGGGTCGCAGCCAGTCTGGAGTTCCCGGTGGCTCTAAGCCTCAACCCTTTTAGGGTGTAGAGGTTTAGGGGTTTAGGGTTTAGGGCTCTAGGGGTTTAGGGGTTTAGGGTTTAGGGCTTTAGGGGTTTAGGGTTTGGGGTTTGACGTTTCGGGTTTGGGGTTTGGCGTTTAGGGTTTAGGGCCTACACCGTCAACCTCTAAGCGGGGACGGCGGTCGAGGGGGTGCCGTCTGCTATAGTAGGGGCCCGAACAGTGAGAAGTATAGCATGTGTATAACTCGAGTACGGAACCCTACCAATCGAATTCCAAATTTGTTGAATAGTTTTTTTTGGGTACGGGATGTTATGCTATGACTATAGTATCGTAGGGAGCCCTAGAATATTTAAACATGACATCGCTGATTACTATAGGGGCCTTAATAATTACCGGGGCCCCTTATTATAATTACATAGCAGAATGGGCCCCAAAAGCCTATTCTAATTATAAAGGCTTCTACTTGCTTATTCGGGCTTCGACGTTAGCTCGTCTGGCAGGCTTTCAGGCCTTGACTCCGCGCGCAGGAAGTGCGAGGTATTCAGGCCCCAACTTCGTCCAATGTCACATCTTGGGTTTAGGGTTTAGGCTCTAGGGCGGTTTAGGGTTTTAGGGTTTAGGCTCTAGGGGTTAGCATCTTGGGTTCAGGGTTTTAGGGTTTAGGCTCTTGGGGTTAGCATCTTGGGTTTAGGGTTTCACGGTTTAGGGCTTCAGGGTTTTACGGTTTAGGCATCTTTCAGCCCACAAAAACCTTCAGCACCCTACATTCCACGAACCACGAACCAGACGGATAAGAATCACTTCTGGTTGGTGCCAACCTGCTGTGAAGACATGGAGTCTGAACCCGCCATCCTGAACCGTGTATTCTTCACCTACATCTAACCCCCCGTAAACCTTGAAGTTTAAACCCGAAGCCCTAAACTTTATCCATGCACCCTCAAATCTAAACCCTCGACCCGGGAATCAACAACCCCATGCCCTAAATGTCAGCTCTTAAGCCTAAAAGTTCAGAGGCTGGGGTTTAGGGCTTGAGATTAAAGGAAACTACAGGTGGGGAGTTTAGGGTATACGGGGCTTCCATAAGGCTCCTATAACGGTAACTACCCACCTGAAATGTCCTAGATAACCCTAAACCCTAAACCCTAAACCCTAAACCCTAAATCCTAAACCCTGAATCCTAAACCCTAAGCCCATTAAGTTTAAGAGTATCCAGGAGTCTAGGGTGCAGGGTTTAGGCCCAGGGGCCAAGACTTGCAGGGCCTGGGCAGAGGGGGCTGAGAAACCCCGAAACCCTGAAAGGAACCTTAGGTTTAGGGTCTAGGTTTAGGTTTAGGTTTGGGGTTTAGGGTTTAGGGTTTAGGGTTTAGGGCTGAGAAACCCCGAAACCCTGAAAGAAACCCCTTAAAGGAACCCTTAAGCTTGAAGAGAAGCCCTTAAAGGAACCCCTAAAAGGAACCCTTAGACCAATTAGGTTTAGGGTTTAGGGTTTAGGGTTTAGGGTTTAGGGTTAAACTCTTCAAGGAACTTCAAGGGAACCCCTAAAGGGAACCCTTAAGCAAAACACTTTCAAGGAACCCTAATCCCTCGAATCTTCCAAGCTATCTCCGAGCTTCTACACCTCGCTCAAGGCCAAAAACCCAAACTCGAAGGCTCGACCCCCGAAGCCTTAGGGGTTTAGGTGGGGGGTTTAAGGTTTGGGTTTGTAGGGGTTTAGGGCTTAGGGTCAGTAGTTTCTGAAGGCCGAAATCCGAAACTCACCGAAAAAGCCTTCAAAGAGCACATGCAAAGGGGAGCGATTTCTGTATCCAAAGCCCTGATACGGGCTGCGGCAGTAGCCGTAGCTCCCAGGCTGTGCCGCAAAGACATTCAAGAGGACTCTGTACACTGCGGGGATCCTCAAGTGCGCCCCGATGGTTTGAGGGCACTTAAGGTTTAGGGTTAGGGCTTAGGGTTTAGAGGGTGCTCCGATGGTTTGAGGGCACAGGCAATGAGAACAAGTGGCAGCAAGTAGGGAGCAACATACGCTCGAACGTGCATTTTTGCAGAACCCTCTTGCGACAAAGGCTACATTGCGACGGGGTCGTTTAATGGAGGCTGTTTGAACACGTTAAAGCATATACATATATAAATAGACATGTATATCCCAATTAGGGTAAATGACTTAGACTCCTTGGCAAAACTCTCATCACGGACATGATAATGAAATCCAGCTGAGTTCCAGACCTCGAACACTGCACAAATGAAGTCGTTGGAGCAGCTGTCCGTCTCTAGCTTGCTATCTCGCTCTGTCTCTCTCGCTCTCTCTAATTGTGTATGTATCTATGCATGTATGTATGTATGCATGTGTATATATATATAATATGTATGTATGTATGTATGTATGTATGTATGTATGTATGTATGTATGTATGTATGTATGTATGTATGTATGTATGTGTGTGTGTGTGTGTGTGCGTGCGTGTATGCATAGAGATACACATATTCTTCAGACACGAGCAACTTCACACATGTATATGTGACATACGAAAACATGGGGGCTGAGTACCCTAGCCCCCAAAAGGTTAACCTTTTGAATTCTAGTAGGATTATAAGAGCCCCAAAAGGTTAAAGGTTACCTACTCAGCCACTACGAAAAAGTGTGCTTGCCAGCGTTGCTAAGTTGAGGCGGGGGGGGAGTCGATCGAATTCTTTGAGGACACCCCCCATCAGAGGGACCCTTTGGGTGGTAGGGGGCCTTAATACTGTTGATGGACAAAATTCTGCATGACCAAAATATAGTATAGTACCATATATCCCATAGTTTAGGTATATAAGGTCATGCAGGATTTTGTCCATCAACCGTACCACTAACAAGTCCCTTACCCCCCTCCCCCCTACCACTGTAAGGGTCCCTATGGCCACATGTTCGAGGGGCGATCAATGCCCTGCTTGGGATGCGGAATGCATGGCTCCCACGGCTTACCTGTAGCTCTGACACGGAACGAGACGATCGTGATTGTCGCAATCGTGAATCGGACTATCGGATAACATAGGCACGCAAACGCTGAGAACAGCAGGGAATCGTCGGCCTGTGCTACCCTTCTCCTTCCACATAGCGCCCGAGTCACGAGTACTTCCGGTCGCATACCATACGAAAGCCTGTGTGGTATCTATTGCATGTCCATCTAGATAGGCGCACTCCACTTCCTGAACCTTAGAAGAACCACTATGCGGACAACACGAGCTATTCAAGGCAAGCCATGCACTTTGTGCACATGC